CGTACATCAGCTTCTTATATATTATACACTAAATTAATTAGTGGCCGCTATGACCCCTTTACATTTGTAAGCAAGTTCGGAAGCGGCCGCGTTATTATCCGACGGTTGTACGTTCTTCCAAATCATAAATCTTGATAAACCTGATATCTTCTCTGAACTAGAAGAATCTCTGAAACCCGAGTATTCAAAAGAAGTCACTGCAGAGATCAAGATAGTATATAATATCAAGATCACTGTGTGAAAAATCAAATATATGAAATATGAGAAAATGAATGAAGGTATGACAAAGATATAAGATATTATTTAAAGAACAGTGAATATCACAGAGCTATGATATATTCACAGTGAGAATGATGATATGAAGAAGATTCTTCATTTATTAAGAAATCAACTCTTATTCATGACTGCAGACTATTAAGATAATGTAAGAATCTGATATCATGATCTCTGCAAAGCACTGAAAAACAGAGATATAGAGAAGTGATTAAATGACTGATCTCTTATTAAAGATAATATCAAAGAGATGAATATAGCTGAACAGTTCAACTTAAAGAAAGACTTTTTAAATGTGAATCTAGCTATTGATACAGATTATATACAAGTATAAGCTAAGAATATTCAATATGATAAAGATATCATATCTTTGATAGAGTTAGTTAAGAACTTTAAGAAACAGTATAGAGAAATGAGTATTTTCAAAGAAGATAAATCTATGAACTTTACTACTCTTAATGAAAGATCTCAGTAATTATTACTAGTGATATTCAGAAACTGTATCTACAGAGCCTGTCACTGATATACTCAGTGCTACTATCACAATTCATTAAGAAAATCATCTGAATGAAAGAAAAATAAGAAGAAGAGAACTCAGATTGATCAGGCTCTTAAGAATCAAGAATTGAAGAGATACATTGATTGTATAATATCTAGAGATTCATTTACAAATATGAATATAATAGATGTTAATGAAGTAGTTCTGAGAGAAATAATTCTGAAGTAATCAGATTCTCAATCTATCAATCATTAATCTATTAATTAACAGATTTAAAAAATATCAATAAACTTCTTAAATTCTTACTTCTATCTTCAAAACTTCTGAATCTTTGATACTGATGTGAAATAGTATATATATAATAATTGATCATATTTTCTATTCTTTACATCTGTGAATGAGAATATAGAAGTTTATATAGACAATTTCAGCACTAAAGTTAAAGATTATAAAACTGTTAGAATAATCATGATAAATAAAGCAGATAAGTAGTTCAATGTCAATCTCATCAATACAGCTTACATTCTGAATTTTCATATAAATATCATCACATGAAAACTGTGTTTTCATATAGAAAGCATCTATTATAATGAAAAAGAGTTCAGATTGTGAAAATATGCAGATAATATAATCTTTACATGTATTAAAGTATTTAAGAGATTGCTAGTTACAGAATATAGTGAAATAGCTGTTTTCTTAACTATTTTAGAAAAATTCACTACTGAAGTTACTGCAGTTATTATATTATACACTTCTAACATTACTATATCTGAAAAAATAATATCTTTAAATTCTTCAACTTCTACAAATTCTTCTTCTAATCTGTTATTATACACTTTAATAAATCAATCTTTCAACCTGTTAATACACATAAAATCTTCTTAAAAACCTAAGATCTCTATAGCTACTCAGTTTACAAAGCATAAGAGATTAGAACATTTATTAAAAATTATCATTTAAAAGCTTATAAATGATGCAACTGATGTTCAAATCATTAATCTAGAAGATACTGTAGATGAGCTTATCACTGAGCTTTATAAACTCTGTCATCTATCTAATATAAAAAATCAACTATCTAGACATCTTTATGTTAGATCTTAAATATCATTTAAATGTCTATATGTAGATATTATACATGACTCTACACAGTGTTATAATGATAAGTGTTATCTTATACATTTTATATGTGATTATCTCTGTTTTCATATAACTATAACAGCTATCTGAAAATCAGAAATCTGAAAAGCTCTTAGATAAGCTATTAATTGAAATAAATATCAATTTAACTGTATTATAAAGATTATTTATATTAATAATAATACTGCAGTCAAGAAAGCAGATAACTTTATAAATTAGATAAATAATGAAGATGTAGAGATGAAGTATTCTTCAGAGTATATCTATAAGTAAAATGATGCAGCAGAGTGAGCAGAAGCAATATTAATAATAAAGATAAGAACTCTATAAATAGAATCTTTTCTATTATAATCACTTTTTTCTGAGATTACACTTACTGTCATCTATCTAGTGAATCAAACCTCTACTAGAATTTTAGATTGAAAGTCATCTCTATAAGTATTGAAAGAATTTCTACAAATCAAATCTTACTTCTATACTTATCTTCAAATTTATGAATATTGCATCTATATAAAGATACTGAATGAAGTTCTTAATAGAAACTGCTCTCAGAAGCTAGATTCTTAAGTATATATTAAATATCTAGTTGAATATGATTCTGTAAACATCTATCAAATTTGAATTTCATACTTAGAATGAGTGATAAGAGTAAGAGATGTAATATTTAATAAGAATAGAAAATTCAACTCTGAAGATCTCTACATTGAAAGATAACTAAGAGATTAAGTATCTAAGAAGATGAAGCTTCTATATATAAAAGTTCAAGAATCATCAATAACTTCTATCAATTAATTGAAAGAGATTATAGATGCAGATATTAATGTTTTTCACTCTGAAGAAAATGCTTAAAGCTCTGAAAAAATAGAGAAGAAAAATAATAAGTATAAATATTCTAATATTTTAATTCTTTCTACATCAGATTCAATGCCAGAGTCAACAGATCTCAATGTTAATATTAATACTTATTCAGCTGTGATAGATAATTAAACACAGAATATTATATCTAGAGCTTATAATATCAGTACTGACTTTAATAAAGTAAATATTATTAATAACTGCAGAACCTGAAAATGCAGAGCTACTTATCTTATAATAGTTTGAAATGTTAAAAATAATTCATTTTAAATAATTAATAAGATATTCTCTCAATCACACTCAGACTTCTACAAGTCTTAAAATTTATTTTCAAATACTGTTTTCACAGTTATTAATAATACAGCTATATTAACAGTATTTATACTGACTTGAAGAATTTATAGATCTCAACTATCAGACTCACTGAATCACTGAACAGATATTAAAAAATATTCATATTATAAAGAATTTAAGAATACTACTAAGTAAGAATAAAATAGTATATCTCTGCAGAATATATATAAAATTACTAGTAGATTATAAAGAGATATTTCAGTTATCTCTTTATAATAAGTATTCATCTATAAATTCAATGATGAAGATTTTCTTTTAAAATATAAAGCTTATATCTATATACACAGAGATCTTCAATTAATCACAGATCTTACTATAAAAGCTTATATACTAATTATCAGAGATCTCTGAATCTTATTAACTTTAACAGCAGTATTTAATCTAAATATGAAATAGCTAGATAAAATTAATATCTTTATTAATAGTAATATTAATGAGCTAGTATATATAAAACTATTTAATGAATAATAAAAGTTGAAGAGAATACAAAATTTAAAGTATATAAATTATATACTAAAACTTCTATAAGTACTATATAAATTATATAGATTATTTCTTCTCTGATTAAATAAACTATCTTTGTGGCGGGCTGCGCCCGATCAATCATATAGACTATTCCATTACACTCCATAGATTCTTCCATTTCCAATCGCCGATCCGCGGCCGCTACGAACGCGCGTAGCATACGCTCCGATTCTCGGCCACTCCTGATCACTGATCCGCGGCCGCTACAAACGCGCGTAGCATATGCTCTGATTCTCAGCCATTCCCAATCACCAATCCTCGGCCGCTACAAACACGCGTATATTCTTCCACCCCGAAGCTCCACCACATACACCACCACATATGTGTATAAATATCCATCTCAATCACTGATTCTCACACTTTCTCTTTCTTTTCTTCTCTAACATTTTTATCTTTGTTATATAAGACCTATCAATATTATACTAATCTATTCAGCATAGATCTCTTACACTATAAAAACATTCATTGTCTTCTTATTAGAAAACAATTATTCACACATCATCTTCTCATCAGAAATAATTATTCATCAAGAGATATCTGAACACATAACAACACATAAGAAACAGTCACACAGTTAAGTGAACACTGAGTTCTCAGATAGAAGCTTGCTCATCAGTCACTCTGGCCCTGTAACAAGATCTTACAAAGAGAATAAGATCTTACAAGAGAATATCAGTAAAAGATCTGAGAGTTCTGACACTCAGACATATAAGAATACAATTACACTTCTTCAGATTTCACAGATATTATACATTTAATAATCAATATAATCATGTCTAACAATAATATGAAACTCTCAAATATGAGTATAGATGCAGTGTCACAGTGACTCTGAGTAATGTTAAAACTACAATAACAATAAATAGCTGATATGCATGTAACTTAATAACATCAATATGAAGAGATTCAATAATTATCATAACAAGAAACTCATGCAATTTCAGCATCTATAGAATCAAATACAAAAGTGCTGAAAGAATGCTTAGATACTCTCATATATTTCAATACTTCTGATCTCACTCTCTACTCATCATAAAGAATGAAAATGCTCATAAAACTGAGTGTAGATGAAGATTTCATCAGTTCATTAATCAATCAAGATTGATATATCAATGAACAATTGAAGAATTATGTGAAACAGAAGTTTCATTCATGAATAAAAGCATGTGAACCAGCATTGCAAACATCTGACAATATTATGAAATATCTTGATATTCTGTTCTGAGACACTGCCATGCAACAGAAAGTATTAGATTGATTACAGAGTATCTAACAGAGAAACACTTCTCTTACAACATTCATTTCTGACTTCAACACTAAGATTCTAGAAGCAGGTGATCAGTCTTGAAAGAATTAAATGAAGATTAGCATGCTCAAGAAGACATTGACTTTCAAACTCTTACAGGCTCTTGTAAGTGTAGATGAAGACTTAACTTATGAAGACTTCTGCACACAGCTTCAGATAATGAATGATTATCTTATCAAGCTCAAGAATATACAGAACAGTGATAGAAGATATTACATCTCAGTGACTTATACACCTGCACTGAGAAATAACAATGACACAGATGCTATGAATTGAGTAGACTCAAATGTCTACACACAAGCAAGAGTCTTCATCATCTGAACAGGCTTTCAAGTCCCTGAAATCACTTCTGAAGAAGCCACTGATCAACATCAACATAGAGTGTGTATCAACTGTAATTAATCAGAACACATTGCTTTCAACTGCTGATCAACCTATGTGTCTTCATATTCAAGAGAAGGATCAGTGCCTTCTCATTCAAAGAATGAATCAGCGCCTGTCTACACTAATCACATTGCATTAGAGGAAGATTCAGAGAATAACTATGAGAATATCTCAGTGAAACAGGGAAAAGATTAGCTTCTGTTCAAATTCATAAACAGAAGCTTGAAGAGGTCAGACAACAATAATTTGAAGAGAAGATAACAATGAATGTGATTCTTGTATTCACTGTGATTAATAACATGTATAATATGAAGATCATGATAGACAGTGATCTATATTACTATGCAATGATAAAATCTTCAGTCATAAGACATCATAATCTTCAGTGTATTCCTCTATCAAAACCTCAACTCCTCACAGAATTTAATGATTCAAAAGACATTTATACTCATTACATAGTGAAGCTGATCATAGATGTAGAAGAACATCAATATGAAGATGTCTATGTATATGAAGTTAATAATCTTGATTATAATCTTATATTAGAACTTGTCTGACTATCTGAACAAGACATCTTATTGAATACTTGAAACAGAAGCTTGATATTCTCTAACAATAATAGAGTTCACAAAAATGACATTCACAAGATCATGAATCTGACACAGATCTCTGTCAACACATACAAAATACTCTGAAAAAGAAGTCATCATTAAAATCATCAACAGAGTCATTAATAGCAAGACTATATATCAATCTATTTCATCAGTCTGACTGATATTAAAAAGACCCTAGAAAAGTTATCTCATGTTATAATAACAGATTCTTGTACAAAACTCTCTCAATAATATCATGAATATCTAAATGTCTTCTGATAAGATAATATTATAAATATACTTCTCTTATAAGGTTCTGAAGTGAATCACAGTATCAAGTTAGAGAAAAAGAATGATAAGAACTCTGAACTGTCATGAGGCTCTCTTTATAGCATGTTCTGAGATGAACTTCTTCTTCTTTGAAAGACACTTAATAATCTGTTAAATAAAGAATTCATATACATTAGCAACTCTTTCACTGCAGTCTCTATTCTCTTTGCAAAGAAATCAGATGAAGAACTCTGATTCTGCATGAACTACTGAGGTCTGAATAGATTGACAAAGAAAGATTGATATCTCTTATCTCTTATCAATGAAACCCTAGCATGAATCAGACAAGCTCAATGATTTACAAAACTAGATATTGTTACCACATTTCATAAGATTTGTATCACTGAAGGAGATGAATGGCTTACAGCATTTCAAACATGTTATAATCTCTTTGAATGAATAGTCACACTCTTTGAACTGACTAATACTCTCAGTACATTTCAGAAGTATATCAACTGAGCACTCTGAGATTTTCTTGATAAGTTTGTATCTGCTTATCTAGATGACATTCTCATCTTTATTAATGAATTCAGAAAAGAATATCAAGAATATGTACAAAAGGTATTACAACAGCTACAAGAAGTAGAACTACTGATAGATATTGATAAGTGTGATTTTAAAGTCAAGAGTATCAAGTATCTGAGTTTTATTATAGAAGCTGACAAGAGAATTCAAATGAATCCTGAGAAAGTCTCTGCCATTCTTGAATGAGAAGCTTCATGTACTGTGAAAGATGTACAAAGCTTCATCAGATTTGCTAACTTCTATCAGTGATTTATATAAAACTTCTCAGATATTGTAAGATCACTTACAGATCTCACTAAGAAAGACTTAATATTTCAATGATCAGTGAATGCTGAAGCTGCATTTATATAGATGAAGAAGATATTCATTAATATCTCTCTGCTGATAATATTTGATTCTGATCATGAGATAGTTATTGAAGCTGATTTCTCTGACTATGTGACAGAAGAAGTGATATTATAATATAATGATGAAGATGTTCTACAATTATGTGTCTTCATGTCTAAGAAACTGAGTCCTGCTGAATGCAATTATAAGATCTATAATAAGAAACTTCTCACAATTATACACTGTTTAGAAGAATGAAACTCTGAACTCTGAAGTATCTCTGAATTTGAGATAGTCACAGATCATAAGAATCTTAAATACTTTACAACTATCTATAAACTTACTGAATAACAGATATGATGATCTGAGTTTCTAAGCTGCTTTCATTTTACAATACACTATCATTCTGACAGTCAGAACTCAATGACAGATGCTCTCTTATGATAAGAGTAAGATATATCATCTGATATAACAGATACTCACTGAATGAACTGAGAGCACTGACTCTTAAACCTGAAGATATTAATTAATCAAGATAGAACAGCTCACAGTATCATATATACTTCTCTGATTAGAACTGACATTGATATCTTCACTTTCTCTACACTGAATGAACTATAATATACAGCAGCTCAGACTGATGAACTTCTTCAGACTCTCACTGAAGCAGTATATCAAGAAGCACTCTGATTTCTCTCAGAACTATGTATCAGAATCAATATCTCAGAATACTTAATTAATGATAATAATACTCTATAATTCTGCAAATAATGCTGAGTCTCTCACTCTGAATTCTTATATACTTAGATAATGCAAGAGATGCATGATTCATATATAATCAGTTATTCAGGCTGTGAACAACTGTATAGAATAATCTTCTGAGAATTCTACTGATCTGAGATATTAAACAGTATCAGATACTTTGTCTGAAACTGCAATTACTGTTCTTCTATTATCTTATAGAAGAACTGTAGAAAAGGTCTACTGAAACTACTCAATATTTCTGATAGAATCTGATGAGATGTAGTAATTGACTTCACTATTAATCTATCTGAGAGCAAGAACTGCAGAAACATCCTGATCATTATTGACTGACTAAGTAAGAATGTAATATTAAAATCTTGTAATAAGATGAATGTTAAACAAGTCACTGAAGCTTTCTTACAGAGTTCATTCTATCAGATATATGAATTGCTGAGATTGATAGTATTAAATCAGAGCTGTTAATTTATAAGTGCTCTCTGAACAAGAATCTGTCAAGTTCTCAAGATTATATATTATCTATCAACTGTCTATCACTCTGAGACTGATAATGCATTGAAACAGATAATTCAGACTGTAAAGAATTATCTTTATAAGTTCTGCAATTATTCATAAGATGATTGATATGATCTTCTTCTATATACAGAGGTTGCTATCAACAGTCAAGATACTATTTCAACAGATATAAGCCTGTTCTTTCTTATACACAGATATCATATGAAAGTGTTAGATCTTCTAGAGACTACACAGTGCACACTGAACTCTCACAGTCTGATTCAGATCACTGATAATATAGTAATAAAGCTCTGAGATATCTGTGACTGAGCAGAGGTCTTCATGACAATTATAAAACAAGATCAAGAAGATTAAATCAATATCTGACAAGATCTCACAGAGCAGTATAAGATAGAAGACCTTGTATGATTGAATCTCAAGAATATACAAATCACACATTCATCTCATACACTAGACTATCATCATATCAGGTATAAAGTAATAGAAGTTCTAGATAGTCACAACTATCATCTTAACACATTATCAGAAATTCATGATGTATTTCACACAAGCTTGCTTCACTGCATTATCATCAATTCATTCTCTTCTCAGCTGACTTCTGACTGACAGCTGCCAGGCATCATAGAAGAAGATAATGAGCTTGAGTAGAAGATTGAAGATATTCTTGATGAGAGATCTCACAGCCGCAGCTGATAATATCTGATGAAATAAGTTGGCTATGATCAACTGACCTGAACTCTGAGTTCTGTGTTATCTGAAACAGCAGCCCTTGACTGATGAGAACTGCTTCTGAAAAGAGGGGACTAATGTGGCAGGCTGCACCTGATCAATCATATAGACTATTTCATTACACTTCATAGATTCTTCCATTCCCAATCACTGATCCACGGCTGCTACAAACACATGTAGCATACACTTCAATTCTCAGCCACTTCTGATCACCAATCTGCAGCTGCTATGAATGCACATAGCATACACTCTGATTCTCAGTCATTCTCAATCACTGATCCTCAGCCACTACAAACGCGCGTATATTCTTCCGCCCCGAAGCTCCATCATGTACACCATCACATACGCGTATAAATATCCATCTCAATCACTGATTCTCACACTTTCTCTTTCTTTCCTTCTCTAACATTTTTATCTTTGTTATATAAGACCTATCAATATTATACTGATCTATTCGGCGTAGGCCTCTTACAATCTTCAATATTAAAAATATTAGACTTTATCTTTATATCAGAGAATTAATATCTCTTCTCTAATAATTAATTAATCATCTTCTTCTATATAAATGATATTATTATTCTATCATAATAAGAAGATTTGAAAGAAAGAGATTAACTAATTAAAGATCTTAAAAATATCTATAAAATCTGATAGATAAGAGATTTGAAATAATTTCTTAATATATAAATAATATATAATTATCTTAACTTAAAACTCTGACTATATTAGAATATCTATATTAATAAGATAATTAATATATATTATCTTATACATATCTATAAGATATATATCTTACTAACTGATACTCTGTTAGAGTCTTTTAATAAGTCAGCTATATCTGTAAAAATTCATTATTATTAATAATATATCAGCTTCTATATCTACTCAGTAATAATAACTCACTCTGATATTATATATATAGTGAGTAAACTAGCTATATTTATAATAAATTTATTAAAACATTACTTATCAAAGATGAATAGAATAATATCTTATCTATATAATATAAAGAATCTCACTATTTAATATAATAATAATATTAATAGATCTTTATAACTTAATCTCAAACCTGATATTATTGAAGCTGTCAGTGATGTTTCTTTTATAGATAATTCAGATCACTACTCTATATAAGAATATATCTTCAAACTATTCAGTAAGACTGTTAATTGAAAATTAAATAGATAGATAATTATAACTATATCTATTATAGAAGCTGAGCTTATTACTATCTTATAAGCTAGAAAAGAGTTTATCTGATAAGATAGATTCTTTCAATATATTCAATTTAAATCTGATTACAAGATCTGTATTCAATGTAATAACTGTTAAATTATTAATATTCTTATGAAGAAAGACTCTTCTATAATCATAAAGCTCTATTATATTGATATATATAAAAGCTGACTCTGAGAATATATTTAATTCAGTAATATTACAGTTGATTGAGTGTCTACAGCTCAGATGCTAGTGAATGACCTTACTAAGACTCTATTACATCAGAAACATACAGAATTTATCAAGATACTAGACCTAGTTAATATTAGACTGACCGTGTAACCGTGTCTGAGACCAGAATCAGATTTTTTGATAGTCTCATTATCAATTCAACTGATCTCATTACACAGTTTTAACATTAGATAGTAGTCTTATACTGTCTTAGTGAAACTTACTGTCTACTCTTATTACATTTTTCAAATGAGATCATGATTTTCACTTCTTAATTTAAATTATTTTTATTACTTTAAATGACTTTAAATCTTATTTGAGTGTTATCAAAAAGTGTTACTTTTTAAAAAACTAAAAATAGTCTAAAAAAAACCTTAAAATGTCTAAAAATAGTAACTTTATGCTAAGAATGAGACTAAATGAGATTAAATGAAACCACTTTCTCATTGTTTTCAAGTCATGATTTCATTTTAAGATCTGATATATAGTCACTTTACATGTTTTTTTGATAGCCAGTCCCAGCGGGATTCACGCCAAGAAATGTATAGAATCAGACCAAATGAGACCAAACATGAAATTCATGGTCCCAGCGGCCAGTCTAGTTAACATATCAGATATCATCAAGATATAAGCAGAATAAATAATCTATCTTAATATAATCTCTACAGATTTATCTACACTCTTTTTATTACAGATTCATCTATACTTTTTTTATTGCAGCTTCATTTACACTTTCATTTATATGTTATATTTGCTAAAGAGAGTGTGTCAGGAAAAAGAGGTTATACACTACTGAACATCATCAACATTGTATTACTACAATATTTCTCATCATCATCAGCTTACTACAATACTCATCTAATACTCACTTATACTAGCTCTCTTGACTCGCATATATATTTTACTATAAATAGCTCTATCTTTTGTATGAAATAGATATATTAAAAAAAGGGCATGGATAATATAACAAGCAGATCTTGATACACATAAGATTCATATGTCTTCAACATATTCATCTGTGACACCCATTCCGACATAATACCATATAACCTAGATAATGATCATTACATAGCCTAACTAGTCCGAGTTCTTCACCTTTGTTTCAACAACGGAAGTTTGGCATTGAGCGGGGTAAGATCTCGCGGGCCGCAAAATCCAAAATCCCAAATCCGATACCCCTGTCGAGCAGTTGTGTTCAAACAACAACAAAAATGGCCCTTGGCAGCTTGCCGGAGTTTGCTCTTTTCTTTTGTGCTTCAGGCGCGGAATCGAAACCATCCATCCCGCGACGCGGGCTCTCGTATCACAGGCGCACTGCACTGTTTCCCAGAGGCCAGGCCCGGATCTGCGAACGGCTGATTAATTGGGAGACAGATCTCGTGATGATGTGGGATCCTGTTATGTGCTAAGTAATGTGTTTGTGTACTGTACTTAGGAGTTGGTGGTGGGTTCGGGGTGAGAGTTTGGGTTTCGGGGTTCTGGTATGTGTAACTATACGAGTATCCCTTCGGATCACGAGTTGCCATGTTGCATTTCCAGCGGCTAACTGACAAAAATTCAATAGCAGAAGATGACATAATGAATAATGTCACCAAACGAGATGACAAAGATTTGAAAACGTATCGTTTGAATCCTACTGGTGGTACTCCATACAGTAAAACGCATTGATTCTTCTAACTACAACATATAACATTATTAATATGCTTACCCAAGCTGGCTGGCAAGTCGGAGGGGAGGGTTCCGGACTAAGGTTAAGGTTGCTCCACGGGGCAATAGACCTGGATGATTACAGGAAGATAAAGATATGTGTTGAGGTTGATATCAATGTATGAGCTATGACGGCGCTCCTGGGCTGGGTTCATCCATCCCTGGAACCCCTAGCGAACGCCTGTTTGCTGGACCGAAATCCTGGACATCTGAGCAAGTAACTAACCATGTTGAGCCTGCTCTATTCTCCAGCTGAAAGGGCTCTTGGTGCCTCGGGTTCTGCTAAGAAGCCGTTTATTACACTATATCATCGTGGCTCGCGGCCTATATAAGATATGCTCAATGCCCGTCTTCAAGGGCTCAATTTCATCAAACACCAACTCAGTCTTCACCATAGCAGCATAGGTGAACCGAAGAAACCAAACCGGTCCCCTATCTACCAACCACAGCCAAAAAAGACCTTCCCAAAACCAAAAAAAAAAAAAAAAAAAAAAAAAAAAAACCCAACCAACAAGGCCCAAAAAAATGGCACAAACAATCAAACCCCTCCTCCTCTACGGCACCATCCTCGGGCCCCCCAACCCCTTAAAGGTAGCCATCATCCTCCTCGAACTCAACCTCCCCTTCACAATCAACCCACTGGGGATTGCCGACGTGAAAAAACCCACCTTCACCTCCATAAACCCCAACGGTCGCATCCCTGCCCTCCACGACCCAAACACGGGCATCACCATCTGGGAATCCGGCGCTATCATCGAGTACCTCATCTCCACCTACGACAAGGAGCGCAAGCTGAGCTTCGAGCCCGGAACCGCAGAGCACTGGCACTCCATCCAGTGGCTCCATTTCCAAGTCTCCGGCCAGGGTCCCTATTTCGGCCAGGCGTCCTGGTTCCAGAATTACCACCCGGAGAAACTGCCCAGTGCGATTGCGCGGTATGAGAACGAGGTGAAGCGCGTGTGCGGGGTGTTGGATGGGTGGCTGGCGGGGAAGTTGGGGGTTGAGTGGAGTGAGGATGGTCGTGAGGGCAAGGAGCGCCACTACCTTGTTGGGGACAAGTGTTCTTTTGCGGACTTGGCGTTTATCCCGTGGCATGCGTATGTGGAAAAGGGTGTTAAAGGGGGGTCGAATGGGGATGACTTTGATCAGGCGAAGGAGTTCCCGCATTTGTATGCTTGGATGGAGAGAATTCAGAGCCGTGAGGGTCCGAAGGAGGTGATCGCGTTGCAAGACGCGGAGCGGGCGAAGCAGTAGGGGAGGATGGATGGAGTATTGGTCGTCTTTGGCAGGGTGAAATAGTAATGTGTAGCATGTTTTAATGAAGTAAGTTTGAAAGTATTAGAACTCATTGGGCCTTTTGACATATCTGCATAGTTGAATTCAACATTTCAGCATTTCTCATTCCCGGCAAATTCTCCTCTTCATTTCTGTTCTTCTTTTTTCCTTTTTCAATGTTAATCCATAAACCCTGTGCAATATTTAAAAAGTATAAAACATCATTAGCAACAGAATGTCTACTTATCATATTACTACAAGCATCAAACGATCGCGTACGCTCACTTTGCTGCTTGCGCAGCCCCTCTACCTCCACTCTCTACTTCTACCCCCCCTCTCCCCCCTTCTTATCGCCTCTACCACCCCTTCCACCCCCTACCCCCTACCCCCTCTACCATCACCACCGCCTCTACCGCCCCTACCACTCTCTCGGAGTCTCTCCTTCCATCACCTCCTTCCACCCCCTATCACCCCTATCACCATCATAAGATTAATCAGAGCTGTACAGGCCGCAGATTATTATTATTATTATTATTATTATTATTATTATTATTATTATTATTATATTATTCTTCCATTATACTCATATGCAAGCGGAGCTTATGGTGAGTCCTTGCGTGATGCTAAATATAGGCCAAGTGTTGGTTATACAGGAGGAAATAGGAAATACAAAGGAGTGACAACTAGTTAACCGTACCAAGCGCACTCACTCTCTCTAGTAGTAGTTAGAGGGATCCTGCAGCGCCAAGTCGCATGGAATATTTAGTACGCACGGCATAGATGCCACGATTCGGCGCTGCTGTGGCTATGCATAGGCCTTGTAAATATTGTATTCATCTAATTGAAAACCTCTTGTATGCCGGGTAATGGACATAATAATAATCCGTCACTGTAATAAGCAGCTGCAGCTGCCAGTGCCACTGCTGCCGCCACTGCCACTGCTGCCGCCGCTGCCACTGCTTGTACAGTTATTTTGAACTCTGATAATAATAAAAAGTGAGGTCTTTCATATTGATATCAGCCACCTGTTCCATAACGTAATCAACCACCTAACACTCGCCTTTGTAAATCAATTACAATCAACTTCAAATATTCATATCTCAATGAATATTTATTTAAAACTATTCTAAAAAACAGAATGATAATTTGTAGATATATATTATATTATATTAAATTTCTATGAGAAAATAACATATAATTATTAATTTATTAAGCTTTTTAAAACACTATTTTAACATAAAATACACAGTCTATATTTATAAATATATTTATAAATATAAATTATTTTCATATAAAAATTAAATATCTTATAGATTATATATATTTTTAATAAAATATAAAATTTTATCTTGAAATTCTTATTTATTATTAATTTATTTAAATTTTTATATAAAATTTTATATTTTAAAATATTATTGTTGTAATAACTGTGTATTATTTATACTTTAAAATTGTAATTTAAATAAATTATTATATCAAATCATTTAACTATATTTATATTTAATAAATTCTTTTTCACAATTTAAAATTTCAAGAATTTTCAATATTTTACTTATAATTTATAAAAAAAATTATAATTAAAAAATATAAAAATTCTTAAAAATTAAAATATAGAATTCTTATATAAAATAATTTAATATTTATTAAATTATAATATATTTATATAAGAATTATTATTTTCAATAATATATAATATATATTTCTTAATTTATAATAAAATATTATATATTTTATTTTACTGTATTTTATTTTCTAATTGAATCTATATTTTAATCAATTTTAACTATATTATAATAATTTTGAATTATATTATACTATAAGTCTTAATATTTATAGATTACAAATTAAAGAATTAAAATAATAAATATTTATTGAGATATTAACATTTAAAGTTGATTGTAATTGATTTACAAAGGCGAGTGTTAGGTGGAAACAAGTGTTAGATGATTAATTACATTACACTTATTTTAATTTCAATCTTGAAAATATAAGGGCTTGATGGCAATAATGATGATGATATAGTATGAATACAAATCAGAGAGATAGATAACATGAATAGAATAGAGAAAGATATATATGTATATATAAATAAAGTTAATGATTAATCTGTCATATAATAATATAAGATATGAGACTAACTTGATGATGAAGTGTCAATTATTATAACTAACTGAATAAGAAATACTGTATGACACTATTACATGCGCATACTATATATGAATTTGTGTGAAAACATCACACATACAGATTTATCTGTGTGATAGTGACATTAATTAAAAACATCACTGAATGTTAATTTACATGATGTTAAATCATATAAGAAAGATTATTACTGCGAAAGATACTTACAGAATCTCTCTAATCAGTGTATCTCAGCATAACTGTAATATCATTATAACTGTAATATTTTTGAATATTCTGAACTGAAAATTATCATCATTATTTAATACTATAATATAAAGATTATCTATATATTCTGTAGAGACTATAGAATCTGCTACAGATTGAGATTTATTGAAATTATTACATTGTAATTCATTTTTCACAGTTCTAGCTAACTTGATTTCAATTATCTGAGAAGCTTTATTATATTCTCTTTTTAATTTCTCTGTCTCTTGATTTGCAATCTTATAATTTATATCTTTTATAGTAAGTATTTCATCTACTTGTATCTGTCTAGACTGACCGTGTGACCGTGTCTAGAATCAGAACCAGATTTTTTAATAGTCTCATTATCAATTTAACTGATCTCATTACATGGTTTTAACATTAGATAGTAGTCTCATACTGTCTCAGTGAGACTTACTGTCTACTCTTATCACATTTTTCAAATGAGATCATGATTTTCACTTCTCAATTTAAATTATTTTTATTGCTTTAAATGACTTTAAATCTTATTTAAGTGTTATCAAAAAGTGTTACTTTTTAAAAAATTAAAAATAGTCTAAAAAAAACCTTAAAATGTCTAAAAATAGTAACTTTATGCTAAGAATGAAACTAAATGAGATTAAATGAAATTACTTTCTCATTTTTTTCAAGTCATGATTTCATTTTAAGATCTGATATATAGTTAGACTGGCTGTCAGAATTAAGAATTTCACATTTAATCTCATTTAATCTGGTTTTATACATTTCTTAGCGTGAATCCCGCTGGGACTGACTATCAAAAAAACATGTAAAGTGACTATATATCAGATCTTAAAATGAAATCATGACTTGAAAAAAATAAGAAAGTGATTTCATTTGATTTTATTTAGTCTCATTCTTGGCATAAAGTTACTATTTTTAGACATTTTAAGGTTTTTTTTAAACTATTTTTAATTTTTTAAAAAGTAACACTTTTTGATAACACTTAAATGAGATTTAAAGTCATTTAAAGCAATAAAAATAATTTAAATTGAGAAGTGGAAATCATGGTCTCATTTGAAAAATGTGACAAGAGTAGATAGTAAGTCTCACTGAAACAGTATAAGACTACTATCTAATGTTAAAACCATGTAATGAGATTAGTTGAATTGATAATGAGACTATCAAAAAATCTGATTCTGGTCTCAGACACGGTCACACGGTCAGTCTATATATAGTCACTTTACATGTTTTTTTGATAGCTAGTCCCAGCGGGATTCACGCCAAGATATGTATGAGATCAGATCAAATGAAATCAAATATGAAATTCATGGTCTCAGCGGCCAGTCTACATCTGTCTATATATACTTTTTAAAACTTAATGTCTATTTACTTGATAATAATCAGTTAACTTCTTCTTATAGTAAGTATTCAACTCTGCCAGTCTTATACTACTCTTGAGTATCTTGTTCAAATGTTTGATTAAATCAGATGTAAATATTATTATTATTATTATTATTCTTCCATTATACTCATATGCAAGCGGAGCTTATGATGAGTCCTTGCGTGATGTTAAATACAGGTCAAGTGTTGGTTATACAGGAGGAAATACAGGTGTTGAGACCACGCCAAGATAACAAGAACATAGGAAATACAAAGAAGTGACAATTAGATACATGCAATAATAACTTCCCAGCTCAGGAACATAGAGCAATTCATTGAAGCGATTTGTACACCTCTGTATTTATTAGAAACCTGAGGTGCTTGAGTTCCGGATTTAATATATCCTCTGCGGGTTTCGAACCCACGCGCCTTGGTTTCCCACGCCAAGGTGCTACCAGGTGGCCGCATTAACCATTCAGCCACTGGGGCATCAGATGTAAATAGACTGGCTAGCAGAATCATGAATTTCATATTTAATCTCATTTAGTCTGATCTTATACATTTCTTAGTGTGAATTCTACTGAGACTAGTTATTAAAAAAACATGTAAAGTGACTATTAATCAGATCTCAAAATGAGACTATAACTTAGAAAAATTAAGAAAGTAATCTTATTTAATCTTATTTAGTTTTATTCTTAGCATAAAGTTACTATTTTTAGAGATTTAAATTTTTTTTTAAACTATTTTAATTTTTTAAAAAGTAATAATATTTAATAATACTTAAATGAGATTTAAAGTCATTTAAAGTAATAAAATGAATTTAAATTGAGAAGTCAAAATCATGATCTTATTTTGAAAATGTAATAAGAGTAGACAGTAAGTCTTACTAAGACAGTATAAGAGTACTCTCTGATTTTAATACTGTGTATTGAGATTAATTAAATTAGTAATAAAACTATCAAATATTCTGATTCTGATCTCAGACACAGTTACACAGTTAGTCTAAATATAAAAGTGTTTTTCACATTCTGTATTACTTTCTCTGTAGTATTAATTTAATAATTAATTTCACAACTATATTTAAAAATATTAACTGAAAAGATACAGTTGATGATTAATCTACAGATAATGAAATAAATTAATCACATTTATTATTATTTTCATTATATATAAACAAATCTCAATTATTTTGTAAAGTGCAAGATTTCAACTGATTAAGTATTATTTCATAATTAAGAAAGTAAATTTCATAATCTGTAAAGTCAGTTTTAATAGTAATAGATTTAAAAATCTGCTGATGAATACTGCACAGATTGATAAAAAATTGTGTTTTATTATATTATTTATATCTGTAGCAGATAGTCTCATTAATAGTTTTTATATAATAGTGCTTATATTGTTGAAAAGATATACTGTTAAGAAATTGCAATATATAACTTATATAAAAGAGAAATTTTAAAATAATAATCTTGTGAAAATTATAATATTGAAGAAATTCTTTAATGAGATGAAATTAATAGTTATTAAGTAGTAATAATTAATAACTATTTATCTGACATTTTTTATTTATTATATTAAAATATTTAATTCATTTAATTTATTTAAATATAATCTTATCATTTGTGAAGTCTGATTCTGATGTGAATATTATATATTTACTAGATAAATTAATATCTGTATATTAATACTTCAGATAAAGTTTATTTTCTAATTTCATTATAATTAATAAGTATTATTATTATTATTATTCTT